AAGTCTAACTGCTATTGCTATTGCTATTGCTATTTGAAGCGACACGTGGCAAAATGTGCAAGTTTATCCTGACAGAGGTGAGGAGGTGATTTGATTGAAAGGCCACATCTGTCAGACTTGCCACCGCTGAAGCCTCCACGAAGAAATGATCCTTGGCTCCTTTTGTTGAGGAAGATATGCTGCATTTCCCTGAAAATAAGACCTATCATGAAAATGAGCCCCAGCATTTTCTTTACATCTGTGCCGAATATAAGCCTTGCCCCCCAAAATAAGCCCTACTTAAGAGCCCGGCACAGCTGCCCAGCCACCCACTCCGTCCGGATGCTGGCGGTGCCCTTGACGCGAGGTGAGGCAGTGGTGGAGCTGCTCCATGCGCCCTGCAAATGGCTTACCTTACCTGTTGCACATGGCTGCTGGTGTCCGGCCATCCACACTGGACACCAGCAGCCATGTGCAACAGAAGCCGAAGTGAGCCCTGAGCCACACCTCCTGCTTGCTGGTGGCCACAACAGAGCAGGAGGCCGAGTGGTGCGTTGGTGCTGTGGCCACATGAGCTCAGGGCATGGATGGGCCCGGTTGTGGGGGCCCCGAAGTCAACCAGTGCGGGGCATGTGGGGCAGCTCCAGCCCAGCCGTGCGACGGCAGCACTAGAACTCCGCATGGACTCCGGCCCTATGGAATCAGCTACCCCCAGAGATCCGGACCCACCCCACTCTCACGGCCTTCCGAAAAGCTATTAAAACCTGGCTATTCCGGCAGGCCTGGGGCTGTTGACCTCTGGATTGTGGTCCAGCCCCGCTTAGACTGGGTGCATGTTGTGTTTTTTCTTTTTTTAATCTGCTGTGTTATTTGTTTTTAAGCTTTCTTAATATTTTTATTTTGGTAAGCCGCCCGGACTCCTCCGGGATTGGGCGGCTTATAAATTTAATAAATAATAGACTCCTGCTCTGCCCCAAGAAAGCAGAAGTCTCCCTCCAGGACATGGGGAAAAATAAGACAACACCACCACCCCTAGAAATAAGATCAAGTGCAGTGTTTCTCAACCTTGGCAACTTGAAGATGTCCGGACTTCAAGTCCCAGAATTCCCCAGCCAGCATTCGCTGGCTGGGGAATTCTGGGAGTTNATTCCAAGTGTGGCCTTCCCAAGGCCTTATAAAATGGCATCAACCCTTCACCTGATCTTGATTCTCTCCCTCTGCTGATGCAGCCTAGAATGGTGTTGGCTTTTTTGGCAGCTGCTGCACACGGCTGGCTCCTATTTAAATGGTTGTCCACTAGGACTCCAAGATCCCTTTCACAGTTACTATTACTGAGCAAGGCACCACCTATACTATATCTGTGCATTTCGTTTTTCTTGCCTAAATGTAGAACCTGATTCTTTTCACCATTGAATTTCAGCCCAATTAAGCCCAAAATCTCACCACCACCCCCGGATCTCAGTAGGGTTTGACCAGACATCTGTCCGCATGTTTTGATTTGGACTCCTGCCCTGAGCAGGGTGGGTGGGTGGGTGCTGGAAGGGTTCCAACATCCACTTCCCACTCTTAAGATTTTATGAATTACAATCATTCGGCCATATGAATAGTCTTCTGTAAAGCTTTTGTTGATGCTTAAGTTTTAAATAAGAAGATCTGGAAATAAAAACAAAACACTAACTTTTAAATGTTTTGTCCATCACTTCAAAAGTGTAACTTAAACATCATAATCACCCCTCAAATATTTTGGGATGCTTTAAAAACCTTCATCCCTGTGGTTTGGGACCAGCTCCTGGTGCCAGGTCAACAAAGCTATTTTAGGTTGGAAACGAAGTAAACCCCTGGTCGCTAAGCGGCTGGTCGCAAGTCGAGGACTACCTGTTTTGCTTTTAGAAACCTCTCTGCTAGAATTCTGGAATACATTTCTCGCCCGGGCTAAACATCTTTATCCTCTCTCCTCAGATAATACCTGTGGACAAATTAGTGAAAGGGAAATTCCAAGACAATTTCGAATTTGTTCAGTGGTTCAAGAAATTCTTTGATGCCAATTATGACGGAAAGGACTACGACCCCGTGGCAGCTCGGCAAGGCCAGGAGTCGTGCCCCGTCCCCACTCTGGTGGTCCCGATGCTGAACAAACCTAAGAAGAACCTCGGCTCCGGTGGCACAGGTAAGAGAGAGACTTTGCGCCAGGCACTGTGGGTGCCTGGAAGTTCTAGTGCTCTGCCCTGGGCCAGCTCTGCTCTTTGGGGATGATGGGACAAGCAGTCCCAATGTCAGGGTTCCAAATAGCATCCAGAATTAAATCAGAGTCCGAGGCAAAGTATTGCTCAAAGTTCCAATTAAGAGAGCCACGTTGGCACATCTGGGGAAACCCGAATCTGAAAGCTTCCCGGTTTTCCCCACCCAGTTGAAAGTTCAAGATTTTGTCCCCCACTCCCCACCTTACACCCACCAGTCCATCCCATGGTCCAATCTCCCACTGCCACGCTGACAGTTCCATCCAGTTCCGATCAGGTGCAGAGGTGCAAAGACAAAGGATGACCTTGGTTTTCTAGAAAGAATGTTGTTATGGCTACATAGCATCTCACTCTGTATAATCCCCCCTCCCGTTTACCACCATAGAGAATGCCTAGCAGAAGAATAGAAAGTGTGGCAGGCCAAAGACCCAAAAGGAAAGAGGGCTGCAGGCCTGACACCCCAACATCCGGGGAGGCCCAGGAAGGGAACATCCCTGTTGCCATAGGCAGCATCTCAGGCCTTCTTTGCGCCGTGGCATGTGTTTGGTGGCGTCGCCCGCCAGATTTATAAGAGCCGAGGTGGCGCAGTGGCTAAATGCAGCACTGCGAGCTACTTCAGCTAACCCTAACCCTAACCCTAACCTCTTCAAGTTGCCAAGGTTAAGAAACACTGCCATAGAACATCAATGCCATTATTGGAGCCGAGGTGGCGCAGTGGTTAGGGTGCAGCACAGCAGGCCACTTCAGCTGACTG